AAAAAAAAAAAAAAAAAAGAAAAACAAATAAATATATCAATAATAAATTAAACAGTACAATTTTAAGATAAATATTATCATACAACTATAATAAATAATATAAAAATAATAACCACAGTCATTAATCTTTTTTTCACTTTAACATTTCACCCTTTTCTGCTTTTTAATTGCCGCTTTTTTGTTTTGCAAAACAACTGTATATTATTTTTATAGGAGAACATCAAAAACAAATATACACACTCAAATATACACACACACACACACAGACAGACACTCAAATATAAATTTTAAACAGTAGAATTAATTTGAAGAAAAAAAAAAAAAAAAGAGTAGATTAATTTATTTGTTCATTTTTTTCAATAGTCCGCTTACTTTTGTAAATCTTTTTTTACACTCAACAAATGCACACACACACACAAATAGAAATGTCAGCAAATAAATGATCAAAGTTTTGGATAGTTAATTAAAAAAAAAAAAAGAGGACATAACTAAATTATATCCAAAAAACAATAAAAGCCAAAAAAAAAAAAATGAAAAAAAAATTAAGTTTTCAAACAAACAAAAAAAAAACCTATACAATTGCATAATTAACTTATAATATGTACACACATCTAATTTTAGTAACTAATTAAGGAGACTGTTCATCTGCTACTTTTTTTTTTTTAAACTGCTTTTATTTTAATGTCGTTATCAGTGGTGCATAAAAAATTTTTCTTTGGCATATGTTAAGCTATTAGTTAATTGCGCACAAATAATTTATAAAAACAGAATATAAGAAGAACAAACTGAATGCAAATCTATATGACTTCTTCTTTGTGTTCAATTTAATTTACCTTTAGCTTTATTTTCCGCTTTTTTTTCTTTTTTTTTTATAATTTTTATAAACGAAAAAAATTGTGAAGAAAAAAAAAAACAAAGTGTAATTTAAGAAAAATAGATTCATATTTTGTACAGACAAAAGGTTATTAGCTTTAATTGTTGTTGTCGTTGTTGTCGTTGTTGTTGTCGTTGTCGTTGTTCGTCGTGACTGTCATCCATCGTCATCATCATCATCATCGTCATCATCATCATCATCAACATCAACATCAACATCTAAGCAGGCAGGCAGGCAGACGGAGTACCGATTCATCCAGAAGCAATAACAGTTTCATACATCATCATCACAGTGTTTACAAGTTCGTGGACAATACGATTTCATGACAAAAAAGAATGATGCCCGTTTGCAGTACTGTACAAAATGTGGGCAATCAGCAAAATGATCCTGACAATCTGAAAAAAAAAAGGAAAAAAAAGAAAAAATCAATTTGTTGTATTTAAGTTTATAATTAGCAAAAAAAATTTGATAATTAAGAGAAGAAAAGCTGAAAAAAAGAAAGAGGAGGAAATAGCTTCTGCTATGGATAACATACGACGTTCAGGTCGCTGTGTTGTTTTTGCTGATGTATTTGTTTCATTTTTAGATCCATTTTGCTTATCAATTTTTCGTCGCCTATTCTGACAACTGTATAATTTGTTAATCTAAAAAAAAAAAATTTGCAAAAATAATTAAATATTTTTAATCCAAAAACTAATTTACTCTGCATATTTTACAAACGGGTTTTTAGTTCATTAAAATTTCAGTGCAGAAATTTTAATGTTTCATAATTTTTTTTTTTGTCTAAACAAAAGAGATGTTATTGGCGATACAGTGAGCTGTATCCCCCCAGAAACAATTCACGGTATAAGTTCTTAGTTTTTTGTCTTCATAATAATGCCTATTCATCAACCTTTTTTATATCCAGTTTGCTTAATTCAATTGCCGAACCAATAATTGGTGTAAAACCATCTTCCACAGTTTCAATTGTATTTCGGCCATTCTTACTAAAGGCTGTTGAATCGTAATGCATAATTGATCTAAATTTAAATTGTACAGAAAAGTAGACTTAGTTCAAGAACAAAAAAAAATTTTACAAAATTAAACCTGTAATCATATTTTTCGCCTTGTAAATCCTGTAATGCAGCTGATATTTTATCAAACTGTGATCGCATACCGGGAAGAATATTTTCCCAACGTATTTTGATGTAGTCATCTCTATCTGTAAACTTTTCACAGCTAAGATTTGATCCTAAATTATTGACTGTTTGTCTAACAGTCAATCATTTTCAATTTTTCAAGCATCCAAATAAGCTTATAAAAACTGATTGTGATTATTATTGAAATTGTTTCCAATATTTTTAAGAGAAAAGGAATGTCAACAAAGACAAGAAATTTTATAAGTTAGTAAAAAAGTTTGTTGGAAATTGTTGATAACGATGTAAACTAAGTAACAAGAAAAAAATTGACTTGCAGTATCAGTTACCTGCGCGACTGTGTTCATGCCAAAATCCAACAGCATGCATGAGTTCATGCACAACTATCTCATGAAATAGACATCCTCTTCCCAACGATATTTCTTGACGTCCACCTGTTTTACCCACTTGGGAGTAGCACCTAAAACTGGTACCGAATTAATGTTGGCCATAAAATACCACACCAAACCATTTATTCCACTGCAATTACCAAATCCACTTTTCTTTGCCAACTTAAGTAAAAGAGTATAAGTAGGTACGATGTAAATGAATGAATATACCGGCAAAAAGCTTATTAAATCTTACTGACTAACCCGTAACCCTTTGTGATGTAAAGGTAGTCGTGTTGTTTCTTCCTCTTTTCAAAATTGATGCAGGTATACATACGATAATGTGCAAAAGCTTTCTCGAGTATCCGTATCTCAGCAGGTGCTAAAAGAGCTTTGACTTGTCTGTTACCAAAAAAAAAAAAAGCTAAAGTGTTGTGTAACAAAGAAACAAACAGCATTTCATCGTATGCGTTATGAAAAAATATAAGGAAAAATTAAGTGTAAAAATAAGTCAATTACAAACGATAATTAAAAGAAACAGCTTTTATTGATGATATATCATGCAAAAAAATTGTATCTATTGAATCCTAAATAAGTGACTGTTTATTTCCGCTAGAAAATCATCTTATATAGCTAATAATTCACCTCAAAATATGTCATTTGTGACTTAGTATCATTGAGTGTATGATAAAAAAACTTACTTACTGAATGCTGTATCCATTTCATAGGGTATTACACCGTCTGGCCATAATAGTTGCTTATTTTTAAGAGCATTATAAACAACATTTTCCTGCAACAAAGGAATGCCATCAGCATGTCATCCAAATTACTTGATATGGGAAATGAAACTGAGTAAACCCTTACAAAGTTAGCATTTTTTCGTCCAACATATTTGGCTGATACTGTCATTCAAGAAAATGACAATAAAGTTGGATGGTTTTTGCATTAAAATGATTTCAAAAGTGTGATTTTTTCCTCAAACGTATATCTTAAGACTTCATCACAAAAAAAAAACTCCAGTTTACCAGACCGTTGCGGTTGATAACCGGTTAATATTCTAATTATTTTAACCAGTTTTTTTCCCCTTCTTAAGTACTAGCGTTTACTCAAGAGCACAGTAAAGATAGGCAAAAAAAACATTTAACGAAAAATTCTGCAATTTTTCAATCAAAAAACAAGGTGTAGCAACGGAAGAAAAACTATCCATAAGATAGCGTTAAGTTTCAAATAATTACTATAGAATTTAGAAAAGTGTTTTGTTTGTGGAATCATTTGGTTGTTATTCACACCTGAGAGACAGTGACATCGAAAAGCATTTACTTTTGTCACTTTTCGATAGTCATTTCTCTCCACTATACTACAAAATCTGCTAAACAAACATTACCTACAATTCCTTTATCCTACCTCTACAACAAATTCTATTTACCTTTTAAATTTTTAGCAAATAAAAAAAAATTTAGTGCAATAAAGTTTATAAAGCAGAAATTTGTTGAGAATGGTACAGAAAAGATAACTAATTGCAACTGACAAATAATTAAATTGACTTTATTTTTTGTTTTTTTTTTTTTCTTAAATTGATATTTAGTAACCTCATTTATTTTATTTTCAATACTAAATGATTAACTGTTTTTCCCCTTAAAATTACTATTTTATTGCTTTTCTTTGTGTTAGCTTCTTCTCTAATTTTCATTTAATTTAGTAACCAATAACAGTGAAATATTTTAAGAAATATACAGGTTGATTTAAAAGATTGATGTCCACTCCATCGATATCGCCTTGAAACTTTCCTGAAAACTGAGCCAAATTAAGCACAGTATCACAACAATAAACTATCACCGTCTAATAGTTTGCATCAAAATGTTATGCAAAACCACAGTTACTATCAGTACACCAAACGTCAGTTAAAATTCAACAAATTATTATTAAGTAATTCTGCAACTGAATAAATTCTTTAATATTAATGCTAATGCTTCCAAAATTATCCATGTTCATCAAAATAATAACAGAAACTAAAAATAATATTTGATTACCAGAATTTTGCCACACACTATGATGGGTTGCAACAGTGCTCGACTGTTTGGGAAGAAATGGGGCAATTGAATGGAACAATGAGCTAATTTGACAGTTAACGACACAGCACAGTTGTATCAGAACCCATATCGAGAAACTGCATCTGCACATCTGCAAAACTTATGCATTTCCAGCATTTTCTCCACGAATACCATCGTCATCATCTCCAACAACAGCAACAGCAGCAGCAGCAACAACAAGGGCAACAATAACAACAAAAAAATAGTCAGTCAGTTAAAACAGTTATAGACTTTGGCTTAAAAATTTGACAAATCCCAACAGCAGCAAACTGAACGATATAGAAACGAGGATGATCGTGACATTAAAGAGTCGCAGAAAGAAACAATGAACAGAAAATCGTATTAGATTCCACAGTAAAACCAGAGAATTCATTGTACTAAACTGGACAGGCTACTGAAACTAGCAGAATTATTATTGTCATCATCGACATCAACATTATCTTCAACAATGTCATCATTATTGAGCAATCGAATGATACTATAAAATTCCCAACCTGTTCCCTCTGTTCCAACAACTTCTTCCTGCATACAGTTATCTAAAGCAACTGCTCCTCATTCAATACAATTTATTTTGATTATTTTTGGTAATAAAACTACAGTCTGATGAAATCCCAAAAAAAGTGTACAACAAACCAAAAAAAAAGAGTATAAGAAGTATAGAAAGACAGATTTTGTCAATGTACACACAGATTTATTCAGTTTCAACAACAAGAACAAGAACATCAACAACAACAACAGCTGAAACTATAGCAACAGCAGCAAAACAATGGTAATGCTAAAAAAAGTATAAAGGAACCAGGTAAAACATTGTAATAAGTGTTCACTGAATATAGTTGACTTGAAGACTATTTAACAGAACAACTGAGCGAAAAAATATCCAGTTTTCAAGAGTTCTTTAACGACAAAAAAAATGGTCAAAAAAAAAGAAAGTAAAGACGAACTGTGGATATGTTCAAACAGAAACTACTAAAATCTACGATGCGTCACCCACCCTCCCCTACCCCACTCCCAGAGAAAAAAAAAAGAATTTGTCAAACTTCATTGTGATCGAAGTCTGTTCCTCTAGATAAAGTTCTTTTTTGGAAGCTTTTTAAGATTTTCTAAAAAAAGGCTGTTACCGCACAAAAAAATAACAGATTATAGTTGACCATCAAAAACACTTACCCTCCTTATTTACTGCTCATTCAACAAAACCGGTTTAAGGTTTATTCTATAAGTGTCAACTTTGTTAAACGTCTTTAAAAAGAAATCAGTTTTACGTTGAAGCTTAGATATTATCGTAAACAATCAGGCATAATTCTAAAAAAAAA